ACTGAAAACGGAGTTCTTGCAGCCGATCTAGTGATGCATTAAATTATTCAATAGGGTGCCGGTATTTCTCAACAAGGCGCCCATTCATCATCACGCTCTCAACTATTCCATTGAACTCGCTCCCGGACATTACGGCGGTTCGGGCGGCGGTGCTTGATAATGAGCCGCTCCCCCAGCATTTGGGTCACGGCGAGGGCCGAACGTGGGAAGAACGCAGTTGGCCGTGAAACCGTTTGAGCTCATTCTATTTGTGCGGCGTACCACTCTGAGGTTGGCCTCCTGCAGCTTCCGAGCTCTCTCCTCCAGCCTCTTAGCGAGAACAGACAGCTCCGTGTTCTTCCTCCTCAGCCGCCTGACCTTCTCCTCGGTCTCCGGGGCGCTGCTCTTCCGCTAAACACATGGGGAAACAAATATCATCAGCAAAAATATGAACACAAACTATCCTGGAGGGCTCGTTAACGGTGTTGAAGAGTGGCAGTTTAGTGTCATCTGTCACCAGTGGAAATTCAGAAGCTACATGGGGAAAGGCCAACACACTGACCAGATATTCATCTATTTATAAACTGAATAAAAAGAGCAAGAAGCAGCAGCTCGCTGAAACAATGCACGTTTTTTAAAGTGTGTTGCTCGCTGCTTCTGTGCACCTGGCCTACTTTCTAGGAAGCCGTCAGTCAAGATTGCAAACTCTTGTTATTTTTAGTCTCACCAGCAGGCCGTTCTCCTCCCTCAGTGTGGTGCAAGTCTTCTCCAGCTCGTCGAGGGCTCGCAAGAGCTCAGAGTTCTGACGCACCAGGAAACCGTAGTCAGTGCCATTCTGGAAAAAACACAAGCACAACACAGATGCAGAGTTTACCAACTACAGTTTTTTTTATAAAACAACGCGAGGGTCTGTTAATTCTTTTCAGAGTGAAACGAAGCGCCTCCCTCGGCCAGTGTTAACATGGTTCCATCTAATGATGGCTGACAGATGATAGTCTAATGAAAAGGCTTTTCATTAGGCCGACTCCAACAGCCTATCCCCGGTGCTGAACATCTATTACACCACATTAACTCATATTGAGCCATGAAGAGAGGGGGAGGAGAGAGGAAAGTGAATTCAGAGAATATTCACACACTTTCAGTTTTTAACTCATTTAGAATTATTTGTCGTCATCAATCTAAACGTTGCCCGCCATGAGGACGTGCTCTCTCCTTGCAGATGACCTCGAGCTCTTTCAAATCGAACAGGATTACCAATCAACTGTAAAGGCAGGATTTGTCTCAGGCTTCAGGGCTGCACCTCAGGATCATGATGGACTGTGTTAGCAGCAGTGAGGTTAGAAATAAAGACATCATTTTCCAAACCCAGTGTGCATTTAATGACTGCAGTCAGTTGTCATGTACTGAAATGAATACACGTTATGGCTGTTACACAAATGAGCTTGTTATCTTGTGAGCCCTTAGCGGAGGGCCCGGCTCAAGAGAACAAGCTCATAGATGTGTCAGACAGTCCATGTGCTGATCAAGTCATTGGCGTCCTGGAAGCGGCGCCCTACTCCTGTGACAGGGACGCTCCGAGCGGAGGAGGGTGAGGGTCGACCTGGCACACGTGCACGCGAAGGGCTGCAGCGAGAGCAGATGGACAGACGGGGTGACCGGAGAAGCCGGAGGTAAAAGGTGGAGTGCTCGTCCTCAGACCTGCATGTCCCTACACACTGAAGTATCCAGAGACAGATGGAGGTGGGTGGTTCTCCAGGGGACAGTGGTAGACCACATATCCCAGCACGGATAAAAAGCACACGGATGGCTCCACATGTGAAAACACCGGTGAACCTGCCTCCGTAATACACTGGGGATCTCATTACTAATGTGAGAAATCACACGTTTCTAACAGCACAAAAAAAAGCTAATGTTACATTACATATCCCGCCATCTTGTGAGATTATGTCGTCTTGGTAACTGCGGATGACGGGCGATCTGGCGGCTCCCCGGAGGTTTTTTGTAACGCTACTGTACCTGTTACTTAAGTCAACACTAATGACCAGCTGTGTACTGAAGCAGCAGCTGAGGCTCCAGCGTGTGTTGTGATGGTAACGTCGGCCACCCGGGTCTGAGTGTCTAGTTCAGGGATATTCAATTAAAATTCACCGAGCTCCATTTCGAGAGAATTTCCTCACGCAAAGGTCCGGAACATCACAACAATGTCTAACTTGCGCAATGATTTAGTCCCATATTGTACTGAAGTAGCCGAACAGTTGTATTAACGTCTGTATGTAGTCAACAACTGACTGTACAATCAATTATAGAAAGTGCAATTGAATAATATCTCAACACTATGTCAGTTTTCAAATTGAACTGGATGAATTATAATTAATAATCAAATAAATGAATTTAAATAAATTAAAATATGGACTGGATTAAAGAATATGTTGCATAACAGAAGAATTTTAAAAATTGTGCATCTTAAAATAAAGTACTTGATTTTAGAAAGATGAACTGACTTGAGCTGCAGCTTTAAATTCAGTTCATTCAGGTGTGAAGTCATGTCACCCAAAAAAGCCACAATATTATAGTCTTATCTTCTAAAAAGAGACATTTGTGTGCAGGGACTTTATCCGTGGTTATTGAAACCACTTGTTTCAGCTCTACGCCTCTCAGTGAAACATAAGTCTATATAAGTAATATAGCATGTTGAATAAAGTCAGAGTATATTATGTCAAAAAAGTCATAGGATAGTACCTTGAAGAAAATTTGTAAAAAAGTCACAGTATAGAATGTCATAAAAACATTGTAAAAGGTCATAGCAGTAAAATGCAAATTGAGTAATCTTTTCTTCCAATCAGAGCAGTGAAAGGTGCCACGCAAACAAAAAATAATTAATAGAAAGACTTATTATTATTGGTCTTAATAACTATTATCCACCAAATAATTCAGTTCAAAACAGTTTTAAGGTTTTAAATCCGTCAGCTGACTAATTCCCAAACTCAGGTGCAGGTGAGAGTTGGGTGTGGCTGTAGTTACCACGCAGTACACGGGATGCACTATATTAGCATTTGAGTATGAATTTGCAAACATAGACAGCTTAACAATGTTAAAAGGATAATTTGTGGAGTTACTTGCAACAGCTTAAACTTTTGTTGTGGCTTGTTGCATGTATGCAATTTTTTTTTTGTAATATACAGTGTTATTTCATTACTGCTAATGGGTCGTAATGTGTGGAGTTTTGTGAAAACTGTGCGATGGAAAACATGGTTTTCTATTTGTAAAGAATTAAATACAATTTGTAAAGAATTCATAAAAGAATTCATAAAATTCCATTGAGAATAGAATGGAATGCTGGATGGAACATGCATGTTCTGGAATAAATTAGAATGTTGACGTGTCATCTTCAATGCTACCAGTCTGCCTCAGAGCTCACTACAGGCTGCTGGTGTGTCCGATGTAGGCTGCTGTGGTAAGATACTCTCACCAAAATTGTTCACATTGATCATTTACTTAGAGTTAAGGACAGTAAAACTTAGAGAGCTTTGCTTATAGGAGTGATATTTTGAAATATAGTATTTATAATCACAGTTGTAAAATAATTAACTCTGTAAAATGTTGGGACTTACTCTAACTTCCTACATTAGGACAGTGTTTCTATGCTCTCATTCACTCACTCTGTGCTTTCTCTCCTCACAGGTTTCTATGGATCATGGTTATATCTGGACCCTGGTCTTGCCTCCTGCCGTGGTTCTGTCTTATGCAGGTAGTAGCCCTGGCTTCTCGGAACCAGTGCTGACGGTGAGCGTTTGAACTGGGGGGGAAGACCCAGTCGCGCTCTTGAGTCCTGCATAGTGATCGCTGTGCAGGGCAAGCCGCAGGCTGCCGTCGGCACACAGTAAAGATGGTTGGCCAGTCTTCAATGCTACCCGTCTATCTCAGAGCTCACTACAGGCTGCCGGTGTGTCCGATGTAGGATGATGGGGTAAGATGGGGTAAGAAGGGGTAAGATGATGGGTCTTGCCTCCTGCCGTGGTTCTGTCATATGCATTGAATGTGTTGTAACTCTGTAAATGTTGTTCATTCTGTACACATGACATCTATTGCACTTCTGTCCATCCTGGGAGAGGGATCCCTCCTCTGTTGCTCTCCCACAGGTCTCTTCCTCTTTTCTCCCCGTTAAAGGGTTTTTTGGGGGAGTTTTTCCTGTTCCGATGTGAGGGTCCTGGGACAGAGGATGTCATATGTGTACAGATTGTAAAGCCCTCTGAGGCAAATTTGTGATTTTGGTCTATACAAAAATAAATTGAATTGAATTGAACCTGCGCCTACTGTTTTCAACAACTCCACAGAAGACACCTGGATGGCTCTGAGGCAGGCCGCGGCAAAACCACTGCTCATAGGGTCTGCAGACCGTCAGATTTAATTCTGACAACGTAGCAAGGCGCTAATTTCTTATAAAGATATTTAATTTTATTCGACTGTGGTCAGGCTTCCTGGGGGCTCCCCACCCATCTTAGTTATGCTGGGATGGTGAACTTCTGTTGACGTGAAGGTCTAGTTGGTGGGTTACAAAGCAGTGCCAGAAAAGAGCATATGTTTTCAGGGGGAGACCACACAGACTAGCAGACACAATATTCTGCCTGAAATCATTAACACATGATCTGGGGAGGAAAATAATTCATGAAAAATAAATTGAAACGGTATAAGTAGTAAAAGGGGGAAAAAAGGATTTACACAAATTTCCAAAGTGGCAACATTTTTACGATAGTCCAGTGACCAAAAATCACTTGGTCATGGCCAGACCCACGTGTCTTTCCTAAAACAACTGCATGTTCAGGTACATTTCAAGTACCTTCTAAATTAGTAGTGAAAAGCTTGCAGTCAAAGCAACAATGTGTGATCACTATTTGAAACTGTAGGCAAAACAAAAAGAAGCTGCTTCATGAACGACATCTCCAATCAATACATGCAGTGACTCAGCAAGTTCACCCTCCTTAAACTCTATGCTCTCGTTGGGCTCCAGCTGAGATCCTGTAAGACACAGTGTCCTCTCACTATTGCAGTTAAGCATGACTCAAGCCTCAAGACTTCCATGAAGTCAAACCCCCGCTTCTTCTCACTCATTTTTTTCGACATTTCAATCTATTTAAAATCTAACATTCAAATACGAAGTGGCTTTTATTGTGAAGAAGCCACAGGAAACGCACTGGGGTTATTAGCGCGGACTGCAAAAACAAGATGCCTTTTTCAGCACTCTTGCAATTTTGTTGTTATTACAAAGTAAAAAAAAAAAAAACATTATTAGCACATTAAGAAAGCTTCTGGAAGAAAAATGTACTTTTGTTTATGGGTCTTACTCTTGATGCTGTGAGATTATAAAGACATGTTGGAGTTTTCAACATGAACAAGGAGCTACTGTAACTAATCTGTCAATCCATTCTCTATACACTCTTTTTCCTGGTCAGGGAATGCGGGAACCTTAACGCAATTAATTCATTGTGGTCAGGTCGCAAGTTTAGGGCTCACACACACACACACACACACACATAAAACATAAAAGCAGCAGCACAACGTGTTCGCTTTGAATTGTTAGCGAAGCAGCAGACTTGATCTTGCGTCTGGAATTGCAAATGTGAGCTGAACTAATAAAAAGACTTAAGGCCTCTCTTACACTTACATTGAAGCATTATTGATGTTACAGAGCCATTGTCTGTTATGAACGTTGACGTCACTACCGCATTGCATTGTGGGATATCCATGCCCGTGTAGTGGGCAGAGTTTGCATACTGCAATGTTTCACCAGAAATACGATGCAATTCATGTACTTTTAGCCGAATACTTACAGACTAA